TTGTCGTCGTCGTCGTCGTCGTCGTCGTCGTCGTCGTCGTCGTCGTCGTCGTCGTCGTCGTCGCCGTCGTTTCGGCCGTGGTGCGACGCCGCGCTCCTCCACGCGTGTCGGAGGGATGGCGAGCCGACAGCGGCGTCGGTGTCGTTGGCGGTGGCGGTGGCGGTGGCGGTGGCGGCAACGGCGGCAACGGCGGCACGGTGGGGATGTAGCCGCGGAGGGATGACGACCACGCTACTCCTCCCAGGTAGCGGGACAGGGTTAGGGCACAGAAACGCACAACACACGTGCACGCTTGCGCCCTGAGCGCCACGAGAGTGCAGTCTGTCGCCGGCGGCGCGTCCTGACTCACCCTCTCCTTCTCACCCTTTCTTTTTATCTCTCTATCCCTCTGCCACCCTACCGCCCTCCCTCCCTCCCTCCTTCTTTCGGCCCGCTGTGTGCCCGCACCTCTCTCCTCTCCCTTTTCTTCCGCCGAATTCTCCTACGGCGATCGGATCCGTGCGTCGTTCTCTTCCCCGTCGTCTTCTCACTCGAAGACGCTCGTTGATCACCGGTTGCTATCTAAAACACAAAAAAGGACCATGCTTGGTCAGAAACGTCTGTGAATAGCCGAAGCGATTCGCGTCTTAGAAAAACGATCTCTTTTTCGCCTCGTCATTTTCTAAGACGATACACTCGAAAAAGGGTTATCATATAATCGCACTCTTAGAAGATTCAAAAAGTTAGATTTCTTACATCCTATTTGAACGCGCATCGATAACCTTCGACGTGTCTATCCTATCTACGACTACGTCGAGTCGCGGCGACGAGACACCGCGAATCCTCCCACACCGCGATTCCGTCGCACCTGCGTGCAAAAAGCAGAGTGGGCGGCCGCCGGCCCCATCCCGAAACAGGAAGGGTACTGCTGCTGCTCGAAATGAAACATTGCCGGTAAGAAGAGCGTCAGGGTCGGTGTAGGTAGTAGATGAGTAGTAGGGGTAGCTTGCACTCTCTCGCGTGGTGAGGCGACACGAGCACGGAGGTAGAGGACGTAGAGGAGGTGCAGAAGGAGGAAGAGGAGGAAGAGGAGGAGGAGAGGGATGGGGGAGGACGCGAAAGGGTGGCTATAGGGGCGGATTCGCGCGTTCTACGTCCGCGAGGGGCAGGTTGGCTGCGAGACGCGACGGGGAAACGAACCAGGCGAAGAAGAAAGAGCGAGAAAGCGAGCGCGAGCGAGAGAAAGAGATAGAGAAGGAGAAAGAAGGAAGAGTGCGCCTAATATGCAACAAGAGAAAAGAATTGGCGATCAATAGGTAGTAGCTGGTAAGCGTCCTTTCATCCGCCCCCGCGGACACCTCGTCCTTTCTACTCATTCTGTCCTTCTCTCTCGGCCCACCTCCTCTCGCACTCTCACACACACCTCCTTCCGTCTCAGCGGTCTCCATCCTTGCGCCATCGCCCCTCTTAACCCACCTTCCATCGCTTGCTGGCCACCTTCACCCCCTTCCCCCATTTCACCTTCCCGATTCTCTCTTGAGTTCATCGCGAAACTCCGCCACTCCATCGCCTTCGTTGTCGAGACATCCGCCCTAGCGCACGCCTAAGTTTGTCTCGGCTCTCGAAGACCAAACATCACCTAATTAGCTGGTTATTTCTTTCCTTCTATTTCGACACCTCCGTTGATTTTATTAAACTGGCGCTGCTTCGCGGATACTTGAAGAAAGTATGAAAAATATTTGTGTCTTACGATATCATTTATGAAAATGTAATAAAATATCGATCGACTTATATTTGACCATATCTGTATGAAAGATTTTAATAGTAGAAATTAATTTTAATGATTATGAAACTTGAATGTTTTTGTAAAATCTATAGACATGTATACATGTACAAATGCATTTCGTAGTAGTATGTGTATTTAAAGGCTAATCCTCTAGACAATGCAAAAAAAAAAAAAAGAGAGAAAGATAAATTGTAAGTTTTCAAAGTTGCTGGTGGTCATACTTGTGTTTTCGTCAATTAAGAATAAAGCGAAGATGCGTTTCGAAAGATTAACGATAAAAACGAGAGAGATGCCGTCGGTGGAGGAGCATTTATTCCCTTGGGTCGGTTTACCCGCGTTTCCAGCAGTCAGTTGACCCAAAGCGAAATTATACTCTACGTCGCGCACAATAATGAGAAACAAGTACGAGGACGCTCGCCCCGGCGGCGGTCACGTGACGAGATACGAGCATGTGCCGAACGCCTCTGATCTTTCTTTCGCACAGGTGCAATTTACTTATACCGGATCGCAGAAAGAGCGTCCGCTGGTATATACGTCCCTCCACCGACTTCGCCGGCGCGCACGGCTGTCCGGAAAGAGGATATTGCATATTTTATATTAGGTCGTGCACCGAACCCTTCCTCGCGCCCGTAAATTCACGAACCGTTCGTACCTGACTTTGATTCGATCGCGTTTCCGAGAAGTCCGCATAATTTCACGAGGAATTTTACGATACAATTGCATCGTATTAAGCGATTTAACCCCCTCGCAGTTATTCTTTCCTTTTTTTACTCCATCATACGAATTCGGTCTCGTGAAATTCATGAAAATGATATAGATATGCTTTTCTCATTTCGGAATAATTATGATTGGTATAGTTTTCGTTTTTAATTTTTAAGATATTAACAAGTTAGACATAATATCGCGTAATATTAACTTAAAAAAATAAGATGTTGATACTTAACATAACTCATTTTTTAACTCTTCAAAATTCCACATCTAATTTTTACCTTTACATTATTACAGTTGCTCAACTTTATATATAAAATTCTTCACCTTTGTATAAGAAAAATGTGACTATTTCTCATCTTGTAATTAATGTGCTATAAGACATCGATTTGCATCGATCGCGTATGCGTTTAGGATAGGAAGCGGGGAACTGCCATGTAAGTCCTGCGTGCCATCGATTTTCATCGGCGACACCGCGAGATGCAACAGATCGGCGACGCGGTCATCGGATATACGCGGCAACGATCGGAGGAAGAAGTCGCGGCCGACAGTGTTCCTTAAAAGCATTTGATCCGCGCGATTGATATTCCGTTCGCGTGTGCCCACGTCTCTTCGTGGTTTGCAGTCCGGGTTAACTCGGCGATACCGCTGACGGCGTAAGATCGATTCGATGCCAGTCCTAGGTAAGCCTATGCGAACGATATCGATGAAACGCGCTGGGCTTTCGAGGCTCGTAGCACACGCTCTCCTCCCTTCCCCTCCGCATTCGCCGCGATGATGCATGCATACCGGGTGCTCTCGAGCTCCCCGTTCGAGCGACGTCATTGAACCCTGTCGCGGGCACTTGTCGCCTGATGCAGAGAAGAGACTCCGACCAGGAGCCTCCGCTACCTCGGCAATTAGTCGGTCCCATTACTTACGACCGCGCGAACATACGATCGCAACTTTCGTCAATTGCAACCCCCCCCCTCTCCTCCCCCCATAGTCAGGTCTGCTCCCCATGACTATCCTTTCCGCACGCGCGTTACACTTCCATCACGGCGTATACGCGAATGTGCGTACTCGAGTTCTTGGCAGCATCATTGAACTCTTCCAGCGGGACGACCGAAATTATTTTAATTTCAAAATTAGGTATCATTATTCTTTTCTATAGGTTGGATAATTTGAAGAGATTGTAATGACTTATACATTATATGATAAAGCAGATTCTGTTCTAAAGGAAGAATATAATTTTTTTCAAGATAATCGTGATGTAATCATAAAATAATAATATTTGACAGAGACTGGGTAGAAGAATGTGGATGTGTTCATCATTTTATATAATTACATGTATATCTTTTTATATATAGATGATATTTCGTCAATCTGCTAATTTAAAATAAGCAATATAAATACTTTAACAGCGTCTGAATATATCCCAAAAACAATTATTGAATGTATCCTTCGTTTCGTTTCGGACAGCCTCCAATGGATATGTTATGTATTTACAGATACAGTTTAGCTTATGATAACACAATAAAGTGTCTTGACTAGTTGAATAAAGAAGTAGAAAATAAATACGCTTGGAAATATCTTGTATGATTTGTGCAAATGGACTCGCCCTCTTCTCTCATTCGTTATAAATTAAATGCCAATGATACTCAACAACGATTAATGTACAAGATTTATTACATTATTTATTTATTGTATTCCAAATATATAACAAATTTTCATGTCAATTGAATTCTATATAAAATGAAGAAGGCTAGAAGTAGATTACACATTAAGTGCGCTCGATCGATTAATAAATTAAGAATTGCATTATAAATTTCTACACAGAAATTAGATGCGCTTAATCTCGCAAATGTAAATAAATCTACATATATTACATCATTATTGAACGTACACGAACTCTATATAACTAATCAAAAGTACTTATCGAAGATACTCGCTATCGGCACTCGGCAGTTCCAAAAAATATTTTACGTAATATCGTGCCTGGAGTGTCTCGCTGCGTGAATATTCGAATTCGAGAGGCGCATCGATCATG